TGCTGTTGATACGCGTAATCACGTGACCGGTCGCACCAGTCTCCCCTGAGGCGCATTTGGTGTAAACATCTGTTTTGATGCAAAACAACTAGTAGATGTTTACTCGCTGTTTTTCCGTATTATTCTTTTTCACAAAATAAAAGTAATGAGGCCAAAGCTAGCGTTAGAGATATCTTCAGAAGATGGGCTCTGGAAGGGAAGTTTTTCTGCCGGCAAATGGGATTATTAAATGACGATTGTAAACTTTCGGAAAAGGTTTAATTCAAGCATCATTCAAGTTTTGCGTTCACTCTAATTGCAAATGTTCCAATCTTCACAACGAGTAACATGCAGCATTTTTTTCATTATTTCCTTTACGAAGTGTTAGCAATCTTTTCATTATGAGATAAAGCGGCGAAAATATTTAGTTTACTACAATATTTTAACTGCTCTTAAAATGTTTATATTCGCCGGTTGATAACACATCCTTCTGCAACAGAGGTGAAATAAAAATGTCGCCAGTTTTTAAGATATCTCAAAATCTGCTTAGCTGCTTCGAACGTAGAACATGACTATTGGCGTCTTTAAACCTTGATTTTCCAGTGACAACCGAAGAGTTTCTGTAAGCACTTCTGCAGGAATAGAAATATGGGTAGTCAGTTTACCTGAAAAGCCTATTTCGAAGAATTTTTAGTGGTCAAAATTCGAGCCTTTTGAGTGAATGAAATAAATTTCCTATAAAGCAAGTTTCATGTTTCTTTGATTTTTGTTGTTACAACGATTAACCAAATGTTATTGAATTCTCTTGCCGACTGTTAAGAGGAATAAAATTTTTGTCGTTCAGTAAAACAAATCCTCAATACTCCAGAAATTCTGATATGCTGCTATTTCCCCTTCCAAACGACCTTTTTTTTTTGTTTTTTTAACTTAAACAGTTATAGTGACGTTTCCTTGAGCAAACTAATTGGAATTGCGTCGTAAGAGAAAATAATTGGAATTGCGTCATAAGAGAAAATAATTGGAATTGCGTCATAAGAAAAAATAATTGGAATTGCGTCATAAGTTTCTCAAAGGAGTTTCTCAAACATTTGAAAAGAAGTGTTTGCCGTAAGTGAACTGATCAGTGCGAGTGTCTGGCGTTAAAAATGTGTACACCACCGGGAAGCGCAGAAACGTTCCCTACACCTCAGAGTTCTTGAGAGAATGAATCGTTTTCTAAAGCTTGACCCTACTTCAGCCCAAAAATTGCACTTTCTAAATATGCTCTTTGGACTGGGGCCCGTTTCTCGAAAGTTCCCGAAATTTCCAATCCCGAGAAGCTGTCCCGCTTTGTTGGTCGTGTCTAGCGTTTAGGATCGAGGTATCGATCGACAAGTTTGAAATTCAAAGAACAACGATATTTGCAAATGAAACAGAGTGTATTGCTTTATTCAAGCGAGAATATTTCTACCATTCTTTAGAGTTTACACTTTAGAAAATGGCTAACCGAGATTTGCATGCATGCTTGTTTTCAGATCTGGCTTCTGAAAGTTAGTGAGTTTGGTTTGCGGATCATTGCGCCTTTCTGTAATATAGATAAGCCAGGCATCAGTGCCGAAGTAGAGAATGAGTCAAGCTGGTTTATCTGAAATTTAACTCAAATTACTGAATATTTTTTTTAGTTTTTAGTCCCTTCCTCTGCTCTCAGGGACTTAGACAACAACGAAATGGATGATCCATTTGGATTTTAAAAAAAGTTTACATTCATTCGTTCCCGTGCTTCCTTTGAAAACCACATCCGACTTTTAAAATCTAGAACCGTTTTCCTAGTCTATTCGGTCAGTCCAAAACGGCAAAAAAAATATCATACCTGTTGGACCAGCAAATAATCTATATAGCTTATATAGGGGAGGAAATTGGCTGGTTTATGAGTTAAAAGTATTAAAAGAGCTGTCAATTAGGGTGTCACCACACAGTGATTAATGACCGAGGTGTATACTCATTACACGGATATGAAATTTTTTATGACAGTAGATGACATTTCAAGCCTTGAGGTACAATTAGGTATGATGTTTCATTCATTCAACTTAAAGAGTTTTCATCAGTTGTGCGCGTTGAAAGCGACAAGTGTGTATGCTCTTCAAGAGCTGAAAAAGGGCTAAGGATAGATTAAGACCAGACCAGGCCAAAAATTGTTCATACATCACGGTAACGACTTTAAAGAATTAAAAGCTTGACTGCACATGGAGTTCGCGAAATTACAACTTTAATACGTCGACATTATACAGTTAAATGTGTCATACGATTCAATAACAAAGTTTACATCATATTTCTCACTTTTAACTCCCTGTAAAAATTTTAGTAGCACTAAAGCTAGGAATTTTTTTTAGCGAGGAGTTTCTTTCATAAACAACGAACTTCAGTAGTTATTACTTATGTTGCCTCCACGATTGATACTTATCCGACCATGGCAGTAAGACCTAAGGTTGACCTTGCCTCGAATAACAATGTTTACGAGGCGTCTGTTTTCAACAAAACACCTGAGTCAAACTCCAGTGTTTTCACCAGTCTTATCATATCGTGACAATACCTCCTACTAAGAGGAAGGGACGACCATCACGCTTTCCATCGCTTTATTCAGTACCACAAACCGCTTACTGCATTTTTGCGGGTTGCGGTAAACGGGTACAAAGCTATTGTTGATATCAGGCATGTTTACGTCTTTTTGATTTCAGGAGAAATCTAATTTCTGGTTGTTTAGTAGCAATGGAAACTAAAAGGAACCTGTGCTTTACAAACATCAAGTTAGAGTATTGACTTGACTTGACTGATTGTCAGGGTTCTCACGCTAATTCGTCCGAAGAGTGACACATGAATAACAATTCCTATCTGACAAACAAATTTCTTATAAAAGCTACCTCAATGTCATATTTTTAATGGACAATTTCCCAACGAATCACATAAACTTTCCCTTAATTAATAGAAAATATCAATATTTACATTGTTATATGGAAGAACTTTCGAGGGATGAAGGATTTCCTAACAAGAACGAGGATGACGTACAAAAATGAATGGTCAAATACTTGCAATTTAAATGCACGCTGTAGGCATGTCTGGAGTGGTATTGTGTGTGTAGGCAAACTCGTCATACAAACGACGAACTTTTTTCCCCATGTACTTGGCAAGTGTTCAGTTTAATATATAGAACGTGCAAAGAGAGTGGGTGCAAATAATTCACGTGTAAATAATGCAAGTGCAAATAAGGAAATCCATTTGCGATGGATCCTGAGGCCAGTACACTGACAGACGCTAATGAGATTTTGTCTTGAACGCTTAATATCTGTCTAGCAGCAAACGATTTCTACTCTGATTCTACATGACGAACTTCAGGAGCTTTTTTTTTTAGCAAAAGCCTTGCGCAGCCTTAAAGAAAGGAACTTACCTCGACTCGACGTGCAGTTTTAGTCGAAACTTTAACTTCAAATCTGGTTTTTTTTTTCTCCTGTAGGCATTTCTATTTGGACTCCCCAGTTTCAGATTGTAAGAATTGGAGCTGCAGTGAAACCCCGCCTCCCGACATCTCGGTAGTATACGGTCGCCTCGCTATTACGGCTACCTTTTTTTCGGCCCGGCAAAACGGCTATGAGTTTTCTTATAAAAACTCTCGTAAATGCGGTCACCCATTAATATGACCACTCGCGCTAAATATAGAAAACCAGTAACTTAAAATCATGATTTGTGCCGGTTGAATAGCCGATTGTAAAAGCGCTCTATTATTGAGCGAGTTTTCAAGTGTTTTCTTTTTCACAATTACACATACTGGTTGCTTATTAAAGCGAACAGTTGTTCAGGAAGTGCGAATGTGATACATTTTTCATGACAGGTATAAGGCATGGAATTTGACCCTACCCCGTTATTTCGGCCAGTTTGTTTTGGTAATCGTACTCTAACGGGGTTCCACTGTATCGATTTATCATTAAATAAGGAATAATTTTTCTATGTCAACTTGATTGGTTAATCGGCAATTAAAAGCTGGTATGCGATGGAACCACTATTAATTTATAACTCTTAAGAAATATTTTGATAATAAAGATTGGACAATGAAACACGTATACTCAAGACCATGAAGTTTTAATTTTTAGGTCCATATTAACAACCACATCTATGGGCCGTTCACTCTAACTACTTAATCCTTTACAACCTAACATCAGTATGCATATTCTCCATACTGTTCTCTATACATTACTTAGGGTGCTAACAAAGAGAACTTGCTTAAAGAATGAAAAGCCTCTTTAGTTGATGATCATTCCCTTTATTCTCTTTACCTTAACGTTTGATTCAGTGGTGATACTGTAAGTAGAAATTAGATACTAGTCACTCTGAATGGTTAACAAAAGAAATATCTTTCACTCTTAAGGACATTAAAAATTTCAAAAAGAATCCTTTCGACTCTTTGAAGAGGCAAAAGTCGAGAGTTTTGGGAAAACACACAACTGAACATTGCG